AGAATATAGAATATAGAATATAGAATATAGGATACAGGATATAGAATATAGAATATAGAATAGAATAGAATAGAATATGGAATGGAATGTAGAATATAGAATATAGAATATAGAATATAGAATATAGAATATAGAATATAGAATATAGAATGGAATGGAATGGAATAGAACAGAATTATAATGTAATGTAATATAATATATAGAATAGAATGGAATGGAATGGAATATAGAATAGAATAGAATAGAACAGAATATAGAATAGAATATAAAATAGAATATAAAATAGAATATAGAATAAAATAATATAGAATAGAATAGAATTCTTTATTGGCCAAGTGTGAATTGTCTTTGGTGCAGATGCTCTCAGGGTATATAAAAAGACAAGATACATTCGTGAAGAATCATAAGGTACAGCTCTTAATGATAGCACCATTCCAATATTTGAGGGGCGGCCACAAAGAAGAGGAGGATCCAGCTATTCTTCAAAGCCCTGGAAGGCAGGGTGGAAACTAATCAAGGAGAGAAGCAACTTAGAACTAAGGAGAACCTTCCTGGAACTTCAGTGGAACAACTTGCCTCCAGGAGTTCTGGGTGCCCCAACATTGGAGGTTTATAAAAAGAGATTGGACAACAGTTCACCTGAAATGGAATAGGGTTTTCTACTTGAACAGGGGCCGGATTAGAAGACTTCCAAGGCCCCTTCCAATTCTGTTATTCTGTTCTAGGACTTCTTACCTCTCTGGTGAAGGTCCATGGGGTAGGGTCAGGTTGGCCCGGTGGCGCTGTATTGCTCGAGAGTTGACAGTGACACGGTCTCAAAGGGGGCCACCTTTGTTCCTGAAAGATGCCTGGAGAAGTAGAACCACGGGTGATCAGAAAGCTTGATGGGAAGTCTTCACCATCGTAGAAGGCTAAAGGAGATACTCCAACCTGGAATGGAGACCCAAATCAAGAACTGGCCTATCGTCAAGACCTCAACCAGTAAATTCCTCACACGAGCTAGATTTAAAATTCTGTTTTGCATCATGGGGCGAAATCAGATCGAACCCCTCTTACATACCCCACACGCTCATAAACACACTGTCCTCCTGCATCATTTTTGACACCAGTTGACACGTCTTCTTGGAGAATCCTACTGGATTGTAGCTTAATGGAGAATGAGAGGGTTTCTTTGCTCTCCCACCTTGGTCTTCAGCTCTGACTGGATGGAGGGGAATGGAAGGATCTATATTCCTTGCTGGACACTTGAATTTTTTTTTATATCCTTCCATTCCCCACCATCCGGTCAGAGCTGAAGAAGCTTCTTGGATGAAAAGCGAAATCTCTTCAAAGAAAAACCAGAAAGTCCAGTTGCCTCTTGAAAAAGCCCCTTTGGGACAACCAGGACCTGGAGGACGGAGAATCTCCATAGATTTCACTTCCTTCCTTCCTTCCTTCCTTCCTTCCTTCCTTCCTTCCTTCCTTCCTTCCTTCCTTCCTT